TACTGAGTTTTGTGAATTGTTATTAAATGTTTTATTGTTACTTTCACCTGTTTGTTACTTTCAAATGTTTTATTGTTACTTTCACCTGTCACTGACTTAATCGTTTCCCATAATAATATTTTTGGATTCTTACTGGCTGAAATAATTTGATTTTTAAAATATTGTTGTTTGGCTTTGCATAATTCAGCAACACATTTATTTTGGTAACTGTTTAAACGAGACCGATTTTCAGAAGTTTTTGATATTCTATTAGTKTATGAGCTCAAGCAGAAGTCTGTGTTTAATAGTAGTTTAATGTGCATTAAATCTTCTAAGCCTCCTTTTTAGACAGAATGTGACCTTAGCATTTCTTTGAGGATGATTCTTGCTCGTTCCTCTCCTTCCTGCAGCCAGACGTGTCGGTCCTCTTGCCTCTGGACGACCCCGCCATRCACCAGCCTCTCTCTGCTAACATGGGGGTGTCTATGCGTGGACTGGAGATTTTCTACTAACCTCTGACCTCTGCGACATTYCCACCTCTCGACCCCTAACCCAACAACTCTTTGACCCCAGTCAGTACTACTTCCTCTTCCCACAACGTGCCCTGCCCTTCCACTTCCTGTGGCACTTCCTGTGTCTGGCAGGTTGGAGTAGTTTCTCTTTTTTTTGTCTGCTCAGACCTCCTTCATCCCTCCATCACGACTGACTCCCTTCTCCCTCCCGGCTTATGAGAAGGCAGTGTATCCCTCCCTTTTCGTTATACTCTAAACATTTGCATGTTTCCTTTATTATTTTTTTATGCTTGTCCTTCATGTTTTGTTCAATCAGTTAATTTGAYGAGTTGAAAAGGAGAACTTTAGCTTATYAACCTCCTCTGTTTCCTCTCTATCWCTAAWGGCGCTTTAAAGTTACAGCAAATTTGGTCTACCGCACCAAAAACTCAAACTTAATCATTCTTAAGCCAATTAAATGTGTTTAAAGTAAGGAAAAGACAGAGTAGATGATGCTAACAAGCATGGCTGCACAGCTGTTTAAAAGCAGCCAAGGGCCCACCTGCAGAGATAGATGACGGTCTGCGGTGCTGCAGGAGAGTCGATTACTTTCCCTTTGTGTGCAAATCACATAATGGGAACGCAGCAGAACATATGAGTTTTTTGCTCAGCGCACTTGTTCCACATCAGCGTCAGTCGGAAGCATCCATCAGCTGTAAATGCAGCATCATCAAGTGTTCAATTATGCCGCCCCGAGGGACTCCCATCACACTCCTCCACCACCACAGACTGGATATGTTCCCRTCTCTATTTGGCAAATTGCTAATGTTGTATTGAGCAGCACGTCAGAAGCTCATCCCATGTTTACCGTGTCGTGCAGGGACAGAGAAGATGCCCCCATGGCTCTCCCTTATTGTTTAACAGAAATGTGACTCTCATTTGATCGATTTTTATGGCTTTGGTTGTCCCGGAGGAGCAACAATCCAGATCCATAAAAACTGCTGATGCTGGGTATTAGAGATGACAGAGGTGGACATTCGAATGTGTATCAGAATAATTTCACCCCATGGTGACTTATCATTTTTCCAGCCTGTTTGCAAATGCTTTGACCTTGCTCTGTGAAATGTACATTTCATTCACCGAGCAGCCTCCCATTGATTTATGTTGCTCTTTTTGGATTTACTTTTACCTTGCCATCTGGGCTGAATAATCACTTGATCCATGTGCTGCAAAAAAAAATACTTGACTGCCTTTTATCCATTTTTATTTTTCCTCTCCATGTGTTTTTTGTTTCACTTCTTTTTTTGTATTATTATTTGCAGGCCTTCAACAAAAACAACCTGCTTCTGGAGGAAAGAAACAAGTACTTCAACCCACAGCTTGCCGGGAAGACCTACACCAACGCATACTTCACCGAYCTGAACACCTATGATGACTATTAACCCTTAACGCCATGCCACAGAGACCTTTCCCCCGTCGTCCATTCCGACTGTAATCTTTTCTTTGTGCTTTGTACTGAGATTCGTGACACCATGCGTGGGACAGCCCCGCTGTGAGACTCTATGGCAGCTGGTATGTAATGAAAACAAACATTTGCCAACAGGGGGAAAAAGCCCATTCTCTCTCAGGTGCCTTGGGGTACACTTGGAATACTTAACATCATGCTTAGACTCTTCATTGAGAAATGGACCACTGGATCTCCAATGTGGACAAAAAAAAAAGATACTGCTAGAAACGAGATTCTCTTCACTTTTCTTCGGATGCCTCTAAAACTGATGTGTATTTGTAACGATGGGAAATAACCACAAATCGCTTTGCATGACTTCATCTGATTGTGTTTCCTCTGTTGTTCCGTTCAGTTTTTTTGCATGACGGGTTGCATTCCAGGGGTTCAGCGGCAGTTTTTGCTTGTCTTGGGTGTCGGTTTTAGTCTTGGAAGTAAAATAAAAAACAAAGGTAGTGTTAATGCCCGGCGGCGTTTAGCATTTACTGCGGCAGTAAACTCCAGATGAATCAATATCCGCCCACAGTCATAGAATCAGGATGTAGATATTTTAAGTCTGTGGTCAAGACTGATCATGTTTTCTTTTTTCTTTTGCTTTTTGTTTCTTTAGCAACTAGAAAAAATTAGCTATCAATGTAAATGTAACTTTTTTTTCTTATGATTTTGTACAGAAAATTATGTTTAATGCCTACATCTGTAGATTTTCTAAATACATTTATTCAGTGTCTCAAGTGTTKGAAGAACATGTTCTTTTAAAAAGAAAAAGCTGTTTTACATGTGCATTTTAGCAATTTATTGGGMGTATTTCATCACATGTCAGGTCATTGTACCTTTTATATATTTTTTGTAAAAAAAGAAAAGAAAAATGTTTTTTGAATTTTGATAGTGTTAACTCTTAGTTTTAGAGTTSAATATGTGTTTGTGAAAGCAGAATCTTAACAGCATCGACTCTACAGATGGAGCATAGCAAGAAGTGTTTTCTTGAATCCCATCCCATTAACTGTAAGATTTCTTTTCAGAAAAACCTTTGGGTTGTTCATCGGTTCAGTTGCAGCTAACTATTTTTATATGTTTGCTTGTGTTGAGTGCATAAATTAAAAACTGCTTCCTACAAGATGTGAYGAGTACAGATGTGATAGTTTGCACTTTCATTGGTAAAGCTTTCACTTATCAAGTTTATGATGATGAATAAAAACTTAAAAGTTTGCAGTTCCTACAAGAATGCAGTGCGAAAGCTTAMGGCTGAAAGATTTTTGCTGAATAGCTAAAAAAGGTGAAGCTAGCCTAAAAAACAGCTTTAAAAATAGYTAAAATTAGCATAAAGAAACAGAGAGATTATGCTTGCTGAATTTAGCRGAAAAAAGCTGAAAGTAGCACTAAAAGACGAATTTGGCTAAAGAAGCTCAAACTGGCTAAAAGGTAGCTAAAAACACAAAAAGCAGCTGATTTTAGAAGAAAGCATCAGAAAAATCRTGAAATTTCAAAAATAGCAGAAAGAAGCACATAAAAGTTGAAATTAACTGAAGAAAAGTAGAAAAAAACTAAAATCGGCAAAATAGAATCAAAAAACTGAAATTAATTACAAAGCAGTTAAGAAAATCARAACTAGAATAAAAGGTAAAAAGTAAAGAAAAGATTTTTAAAGAGTTTTAAAGATGTTGAAGACCGCTCCCTTCGTTTTCAGTGAGAAAAACGTTGAAATAACACAAAAGTTGCGGAATGAGGTATGCGCCAAAAAATGTGTGGAAGAAAACATCTCAACAGTGCAAACACCTTATTGCAATGTTTTTAGAATTGGGGCCGATTGGGCAAATTAGGGGGGATAAAAAGCACAAATATGAATGTTAGTTAAGAGAGGTTTGATTCATTTTGTTCTRTTCTTATTTTCAACAGTTTGTTAAAGTTAWTTTTASTGGGAATATAATAGTTTAAAACATGTTCATAAATTTTTAATGATAGTGACTAGCATGGACAAGCTGGTGTTRGCACTGGAGAGGTTAGCAGTACTATATAATAATTAAAAAAGCATTCTAAAAGTTTGTTTCTGTACATATTTTGTAGCATTGTTTGTGGGTTTGCAAAGGGGGTCCTCAGCCAACAGTTAATGCCGTTGTTTGGGGGGGGGGGGGGGGCATGGCATGAAAAAGTTTAGGAAGCTTCTCTTTATAGAATTTACAATTAGTGTTCCCTGAAGGAATGCATCACATCTTTCATGCCAGAGGTTTKAAACYAACTCCACCAGTTAATGTCAAAGTTTAAACCATTACTAYGACTCGTTCTGAAACCTTTGGGTTTAATAATCCTAAAGCCAAACAATGTAAAGCCAAAACACAACAGTACTTCATAARTCACCCTAAACCAAAGTAAAAGACATTTTCCACCTGTTTTTAAAGAAGGTTGTTGTTTTTCTCTTTTTTTCCAACAGGGCCCTACAGTGACAAATGGCTTTGACAGCAGCGGAAGGATACCTGAAGGATATAAATAGCGAACGGCGGTGTGGTAGAGGTGTTAGGGGTGCTGTCTAAAGTCCAACCTCTAATCTGTATGACGGGGTGTAATAACACACACCTCGCTGTTCTCCATCAACCTTCAACCTGACATCCCATCTGTGTGCAGAGGGTAATGGAGGGGTGTTATTAATCACCCCGCTGTTTGGGCACTCTGACTTCAAAGAATTAATCTCTTTACCTTGACTTCATTCTCGCCGTTAGAAAACGAAGCGTTGCAGCAGCAGCAGACACCCACAGGTGGTCGTGTTTGGCCGGGACCAAAGGACGGCGGGTTAAGCTGTGGATGGGACGTACATTTAATGGGCGTTGGAGGTTAGACAGCTGGAAATGTGTGCATTTTCCCTGGCAGTTCATCTTTTTATACTGTGTGCGCCAACAGACCTCAAGAAAAGCAAACTGATGAACTCGGAGCACAAACACAAACACCAGCCAGCTCGTAGCACTAAAGTGGGTTTTGCTACTTTCATGTTTGTATGAATTTGCCGATACAATGAACTTTGCAGCGCCTTGTCAGACACATGACATTCCWTTCTGACTGCAGGGTCTAAAATGATTACTGACTTTTCACCAAAGTGACATTTAGGGACTACTGAAGTCGGTGTAAAGGTCACAAGATGAGAGCTGGTGCACGTCAGAGAAACGGTCTGTGTGAAGGGCTTGTGTTGTAGCTTCGTAATGAACAATCAAAGAAAACAGTTCATTTTCTAAAAGTCACGATCTATCTTTTTCTTTATCGTGTTTAAGCTATAGTTCAACTCATTTCCCATAACAAGAGTATATGGGAATAAAACTGTTTCTAAAGTAAACACAAACAAAAGCAAATTGTTTAAACTTAGTCTAATGATAATGAAAATAGCATTAAGGTTAATTTCAGAGTTAATTTATACTGAACTCGATTAATGTTTTAAAACAGCAACCTGACTCTTGTTTGTGTTTTAGAACAATGATTCCGCCTTAAGCATCGGGTCTAAACCATCCAGAACTTTGGCTTATAAACACGTTTAAAAAAATTATTGTTGCCCTAATTAAAGTGAACTCTGCTGTGATTGATGCTAATTAGCAAACTCTGCAACACTGAACTGGTGAAAATGGCAAATGTGACCGTCTGCATTGACCACCACCATGAAAGGCACATGAAAACACACGATGGTCCTTGTTTGTGTGTGTGTGTTTGCAAAATACCCCATATATATGGCCCGGTATGAGGGCCAAAATTATGATTATTGCGCAACCAAAGGTTACATCCTTGTAGCAGGAGGCTATATCTATTCCTAAGCCAGCTATTGATCTAATTAATGATAGGCTGGCACCAGTTACTGAGAGGTCAATGCTAGCAAATGAGAAGGAGACTATTCATTTGCATTAGCAATGCTAGCGACTAGCATGGATAAGTTGGTGTCAGCCTTGGAGAGGCTAGTGACTAGCTTGGATAAACTGGCATTAGCATTGGACAGGCTAGTGACTAGCATGGATAAACTGGCTAATGCAATGCTCCAATGCTAATGCCAGCCTAGCCATGCCAATGGACAGCGGAGGGAGTTGGCAATCCAGTGGGTCACTAGCCTAGGCATGCTAGTTGCTAGCCTCTCCGATGCTAATGCAAATGAATGGTCTCATTTGCCAACACCAGCCTCTCAGTTACCGGTGCCAACCTATTATAATCAGATCAATAGCTGACTTAGGAATAGATATAGCCTCCTGCTACGAGGATGCAGCAATCTCTGGTTGTGCAACAGTCTTAATTTTGACACTCATAACACGCCATACATATATTTCTGTAAAGGTTTTTATTTAAACTTGTGATTTTCTTTTTTAGTCAAACAGGTTAAAAATGGCTGCCACAGCTAATTGACATTAGCAAACAAAAAAATGGCCATTAGTCAGTCACTTTTGCAGAAAGTAAGCTAAAGTTTGGCATGGTAGTGGCTGAGAGTCATCCCCAACTCTTAATTTGAGTGCTATTAGAATATTAACACTTCGTTATGCAAGGCATTAAATAAATGTAAATTTAATTTTATCATGCTGGTTTAAGAAAACCACACTTAGAATGATCCTAATTCAAACATCAAAAACTTTCAAAAGCTCACAGTATGACTGAAATGTGCCTTCATGCTGGCTTTTATCCAAAGAATGATTTAGGCCTTTTTGTTCAGGGACCATTCAGGAGCGCTGCTAATTAGCAGCCTGTACACACAGGCCTCCGAGTGGCAAACTAGGTGAGTGAGTGAGTGAGATTATTTCTGTCAGGCAGGTAACGGAGCGTGAACGACTCATTAAACACTTTTTTCCCTCACAATTCCAGATAATTTTTTCCCTATTCACTTGGACCTTTAAATTGGTTGTTTCCTTTCCTCTTTCCTTTCCTGTCCTAATTGACTGACACAAATGTAGCAATCTTTAACTCTTCCACCAAATATTAAAGCATCCGGAGATTTATTTTCCCCTCTCTCTGCTTGTAGTTTTGAAGCAAACATTCCCTAATGCAGCCTCATTTCAGATAAACATTACTGAGCACTAAAAGCAAACAGATTCTTCAAAGCTGCTCTAATCTCCAAAGCGCACCGGCTGCCATGCTTTCAGAAAGGTGTTTTGTATTTCTGTGGCATCTTCAAGAAAAATTGTGTTTTGCGACTGATACTACAAATCCTGCATTTTGTTGGTGTCAGGAAAGCACAGCGGTGTTTTCTGTATTTCCTGCACCTCTTTTTTTTCCTTCCATTTCTCAGAGGAGGAAGCACAAGTTCCAGCAGCGCTCGCTCAGCCAGATATGTGGAGGCTGATAGGAAGCTGGCACGACTCTCCCAGTTCAGTCATGCCAGACTGAGCAATGAATGTCACCACAGGCTCTAATGCCAGCTGAGAGATGCCACCAGAGATTCCTCACCAAGACWTCTGGTCTCTCAGGTGCCCCTTACAGGTCCCAGCTCCAGGAAGTCCCGACGAGTGCCAAGAGTGTCCCCGACAAAGCCAAGCCCTCCGAGGTTTATCGGCTCCACCGCAGCCCTTCATGGGGCCCATTCACCTCAATCAAAGCTGGTATTAAAGTAACAAGCCAGGATGGTGGATAATGCTGTGCTCCAATTACCCGCCATGTCTCCTCCATCTTCCCCTGCCAGCTTCCCAACAAGCCCCGATTCTCCTCCGCGTGCCCAGCTGCTCTGGCTCCGCTCTGCTTCCTGTGTGTGCGCACAGAGGGGCGAACCTTTCAGAACAGAGGGGCTCTGTCAGCGCTTCACTCACAGGAGCCATTGACGACTGCCGTGGTGCTGAAGGGGTCTTATCAGCGGGACAAAAGCGTCTCTCCTAAAGACCAGACCCAGTGATTTCCAGCAAACAGTAGCAGAGCTGAAGCCAAAACCTTTGATCAAATCAAATTATTTCAGTTTATTTTTAATATTTAACAAGAATTACCAGTTAGAATAATGTGTCTGATAGGATAAAAGTCAAAGGAAAACACTAAATTAGCTATTAGATAAACAAATCTCATATTTGCACACGACACTGAAGGATGTTTGCGATGATGTTGTCAAACCRTTCTGTATGATTAATTGTGCCGTTTATTTTTTAAATATAAGGATTTTCTGCTCATCATATAGAGACTCCAGA